CGATGGGCACCTCCCGATGGATCCTGCGGGATGCGGGCAGCGCTGCCTGGACCGACAGGGAAGGACCATGGGCAGCTCCCACCGGGCACAGCATCCCCGAGCCAGGGAATCTCCCCCATCGAGGCATGCGCGGGAGGGAGAGCTTCCCAAAGACGCTAATTAGGCAAATTAATTCCTATTGAGTCGCAGCTCTTCTCTGCCTTAAAAAAGGGGGAGAAAAAAAAATACAGAAGCTACTTATTTCAGTGCTGATTAAATCCCAAATATTGAGACACGGATTAGAAGTGAGAGTGTTCCGTGGGAGGTGACCCCACAGCAGAACCGGTGCCCACCTGGCACAGAGCTCTGAGGTTGGCATGGGGACCTGAGCCCTTCTCCTCCTGCTCATCCCTCACATCCCCTGGTGCTGCTAGCACCAGACAGGGACTGTGTTTGGTGGGTTCCTTCCTCCTCCACGGGCTGAGGAAGAGGATGGTGAAGCCATGTGGGCACAGGACACCAGCCTGGCACAGGGCTGAGCCTCAGGGTGCCCTCAGCCACGGCCATGAGAGGGATCCGGGCAGGGGTCCCATCCTCAGCAGGACCTGAGAGTGGATTCATCATTTTCCATCCCCCTCCCTGATCCAGCCCTGAGGAACATTTCAGCTCCAAGGAAACTCTAGGAATCTCCCAGCAGCTGCAAATCCGTTCAGGACACCAGGTTAGGAAAGAAAAGCCACTCCAGGGACTCTGCAAAGGCTGCTGGATCTGTGTCACTGCAGTGGGAGCGGGGAAGAGTCACACAGAATCCCAGAATGATTCCGTTTGGGTTGGAAGGCACCTCAAAGTTCATCTCCTTCCCTGGGCAGGGACACTTCCCACTGTCCCAGACTGCTCCAAGCCCTGTCCAGCCTGGCCTTGGGCACTGCCAGGGATCCAGGGGCAGCCCCAGCTGCTCTGGGCACCCTGTGCCAGGGCCTGCCCACCTCAAGGATTCCTGTGCCAGCCGCTGGTGTCCATCAAAGAGGAGCTGTGGATGGCATTGGGGAAAGAGACTCATTGGGCTGTGCAGCCCTTGGGGCTCTGCCACCAGCCCAGTGCACCCCACAAGGTGCTGCCTGAGGCTGTTGGGTGTCACATGCTGTCCCCAAGCCCTGCCCTCCTGCTGGGGAGGGGACACATTCCAGATGGATTCCCCAGGGTCCAGCTGCCATGCCTGGAAACAAAAGGATGCTCCAGTAAGATGAAGAACAGGAAGAGCCTCGAGCACCAGGATGGTCCTTGCCCCCTTGCCCATGGCACAGGATGGGGTGGGCACAGGAACCACCTAAAGGTGTCCAGCTCTGATCCCCAGGATGCCAGAGCTCCGTGCAGCTCCAGGCCAGAGGGAGGAGGACGAGTGGGCACCAG